CATCTCCCCATGAATGACATTAGATATTCCCAATGTGCTGTAAGGTCCTTTGGGTAGGTGTGGGTAGGGATGGTAATCTGATCCACCTCGCCTTAATCGAAGTGTTATTTTTTTTACTGTTGACCAGTTCAAGGTGGGCTTTGGAGAAACTTGAAACTTTGGTGACCGGGGATGGAGCAAGGGAAGTATTTGATCCACTCGGGATTTCCTACTCACTTTTCGTACCCATTCTCTACTCGCTGTGAATTGGAACCACACATATCTATTATGAATTGAGAGATGTGCGACTCCAATTAACTGCGAGTAGAGATGGGTAGGAAAAGTGAGTAAGAAATCTGGGCCCGATCACCTAAGCCTGGCTACAAGCACGCCCCAATAGAGAATATGTATAATATACTATTTTATATTATGTTTTATATTTTTTATAGAAATATTATAATATATCACCTATAATACATACTACATATAAATATTTATATTATGTACTGTGTAAAATAAATTTTATACACATATTATATAACATGCTATAATATGTTTTAACTCAAAAAATAGCGTTGTAACTTGTAAGTAGGAATGCTTGGGGTAGGGCGCGACAAATTCAGAGTTAGGATTTCCTATTGAGGTACGGGGCAAGGATGGGGTGCGGTATGTGTGTTCAGGGTTGGGAATGGGTATACAAAAAACTGGCCTTACCCTGCCCCATTGTCATTTCTAGGTGTGGGTAGCAGATCTGAGCTTGTTTTTTGGATGCAAAACTTGAATTGCAAATAGTACAAATTTTACATCAGGTAGGAAAAGTGTTTTAAAAACAGACCCAGAGGTCGAACTGTTTTTGCCTCTAGGTCACGAGTTAGACCGAGTAACATCAGAAAATACAACACACACACATAGGTATAAACACATTTTATCTATAAATAATGTATAATTATATTGTGCATGTAATGTATACATTATTTTATATTTGATTTATTTAATTTAATTTTTTTTATTTGTAAAAAATGCTAAAGTTTGTGATTTGAGACCAAAAAGGAGGCTTTAGTGTAAATAATGGGGTGAGATGCATAGATATCAAAAAGTTATCCAAAATTTAAAAAAAAAAATCACATCAATCCAACATCGAAGCACAAAGTTATGGCCTCCAGAAATTTACATACACATTTAGTCTGTGACTTATGACCTAGTCGTCGGGTTGAACAAGTAACCGCCTGAGTTGGGTAGATTTTTTACCACATCAATGGTTTTTGACCAATTCTTGGATTATAGTATAACTGAACCTGAAATCATGGGCGGGTGACTGTTTGAATGATTCAACAAGCCATGTCAACAATAGGTTGAAGACACTGGATAGAAGTACAAATCATAATTACAAACAAATAGATCTCTGTCTCTTTCTCTCTTCCAACCAACTCTACTAGGGTTGTTCACGGGTCGGGTTGGGTCGGTTTATTGGCATTTTTCCAACCGACCCGACCTAGTCGGTTTACCTAGAAATGAAACTGAAACCAACCCAGTACTAAGTAAAACCGACCTGGTCGATTTGAATCAGTTTGGGTCGGTTTTGTGAATGATTCTCTCGGTGTGAACGGTAAAGGATTCAAGTCTAACAAAGCAAAGGCTAGATGCCTGAAAATTAAAAATGATTTGATGGATTAAAACTAATATTTTATATATCAGAAATTTTATATATAATATATATTTCTGAAATAAAGCTGAAATATATATTTCCACAAATATATATCTGAAATATATATAGTAAAACTGAAATATATCAGATATATATATATATATAATATTATATTATATTATATATATATATAATATATATCTAAGCCGGTTCAGGTACCGAACTATCGGTTTATATTTTTTTGTAACCCAAAACCGACCGATACTTAAGAAAAAACAACTAATTCGGGTTGAATCGGACCGGTTTGGTCTGTTTGGGTCTTGTTATGAACAGCCCTAAACTCTACATGTCAAGAATCCGGATTTACTCCTTACAAAGCATGCTTCACACCAATCTCACAAACAATCTGGCAAAGGGGGAGTGATAGAATCATTTGATCCAAACTCTCCAAAATGTCACCTTTTCGGAGCTCCAACAACATCACATTGAACTACTGATGACACCTCCAAATACTAAGGAGCTACACAATATCGTCAAACTCAAGAACCCTCACAAAGCTCTAGGACCATATGAGTTCACTGCCTTCTTTTATCAGCATCATTGGAACATGCTTGGCCCAGAGATATTAGACATGGTCAATGCATTCTTTGTTACAGAACAACTCGCCAAAGAAATCAATAATACCAACTTGGTATTCATCCCCAAGAACAATTTCCTAGTGGACACCTCTGGTTACAAGCCTATTAGCCTTTGCAATATGCTATACAAGATTATTTCTAAATGGATGGTCCAGAGATTGCAAGAAATCATCTCTCCATTCCAATCGGCCCGCTTCCTAAAGAATATACAAATCTCAGATAATATTCTATTGGCCAAGGAAATCACTCATAAAACCACATTGCAGCAAACTGGATATGTCCAAGGCTTTTGATTGAATGGGCTAGCTTTTCTTATGTGGAGTTAAAAAAAAAAAGAAATTTCCTCCAAAATGGTGCAGTTTAATTTATCAGTGCATCTCTTCCCTTATTCAATAATGTTAAGAGGTGAAGCACATCACCACTTTCATCTAAATAGAGGTTTGCAACAAGGTGATCTTCTCTCTCCTCACGTCTTCATCATAGGCATGGAGACCCTCACACAACTACTTGGAGCAACATCCATGGAAAGGAATCTTCAAGGAGTCAAATTGAACCAAAATGGCCTAGAAACCACTCATCTAATGTTCGCAGATGATATTATGTTATTCTGCAAAGCTGATCCCTCTCAAGTTTGAACCTTGCCCCACATCTTGCAAAAATTGAAGACTTATTGGGACAAAAAATAAATTATGCCACTACATGAAAAATGACTTCAACTGCCGCTAAAGGTCCCTAAAACTGCTGCTAGAAACTTTACCAGCAATCGGCTAATTGCCACTAAAAGAACTGTAACTATAAGTTCTAGCGGCAGTTTTCACGGCTGTTGGTACAAATGCAAAAATTGTCGCTGAAACTATCTTTAGTGGCAGTCGCGACTGCCACTATAAGTTTGGCACGCTTTTTTTAGCGGCAGTTGCAACTGCTGGTAAATCTTTTTTTGTTCATATACTCTATAATTTCTTTGTAAATTATTCCTGATTTGTTTCAAATAACTTGTTTTGTCTACATTCATCTAAATTAAAATGAAATACAAAAATCAATACAAATGCAATTTAAAAGTCTATTCTCCATTCAAAATATTTTTCGACCAAAAAAAAATCAATACACTTGAATCACAAATTAATACATCTTAGTTTCAAATTGAGACATTCTTTAACACAAATTTCATTGTCCATTCTCAAAACTCAAAACACTTGATTGACAAAAAATTCTCCCAAAATTCAACGAAAATGAATACATGCACAAAGGATGAAAACAATCATAAATAAACTTGGGGTAAGAATGAAATCTCAACTGGTGAATGACACAGAAAAATGTATGCTTAAACATAGTTTGAAATAAAGAAAAAATATTTGTAACTCATGAAAACTCTTCAATATTTGAAACTCAACAAAAATATTTCTTTCACAACATTTATAGGATAGCTTTTCTATAAAAAAAAAATGCAATGCTCCTCTCTTTCCACATGCTTCAGCCAACTGATAAGGGAAATGTGTTCCTCAAGATACATTCTCTAGGGCTTTGATCCCTCACTGGATGAGACAACACCAGACCAGGGCAGRTATTAGAGTCTAGGGTTGTGCATCTAACTGAAGTTTGTTATTTTTCCCCTTGTATCATTGCAATTCTTTAAGCAGAAGTGTAATTGGATCCTACTTTGTTCAGGGCCTACCCATCCTTGATGATGAATAGTCATAACTTCTTCTGTGTCTTACGCCTTATAGTTGATAGCAAGGCAACAGATCAACAAAGGCCTTTCCTTCAGAGTGCAAGGACTAGGTGCGTTAAGCCTTTTGATTTTCAAGAACAATAACCTGGATGAGGGTACTGCCAGGTGGAATGAACTTTTCACATTTGAAGTTCCTGGATGAGTGCAAGGAACTTGGTACCCAATTCTTAAGGTTTCAGTATTTCTGTAAGTCAGAAAATATGGAAACTTGCACTGTAACATCAATATGAAAATTGCGCAGATTTTGAATTTCAGAATGGAAGCAAAACTTGAATTGCACATGATTGAGGCAAAAAAGTATTTGATTCCTTTTCCTTCCCTTGCATTCAGCACTAATCTAAACAGAACCTAATGGCTTTGATCTTGGATGCAAGGATCCTTTGTTCACATGCAAACTTACTTGAGCCCTAATTATAAGCTTTCAACACCTAGCAGCTAAAGGCACAACCACCAATTTAGGGTAAATGGAGCACATCATTCATCCCCCTTAAACTAAAAGATTGATGCCTGACAAATTAACCTGCACATCATGCACCAGAAATCTTGGAAAACACATGGGGCAATAAGTAGGAATGTCAACTAGTTGGGTTTAGTATGGGTTTGACACAACCCAACCCAGCTCCAAAGGCACCTGCTATTGAACTTGTATCGCCTCAACTTAATGTGATGGAATTACTGAACCCACCCCAACCCCATACCAATACCAATCTGCTCTACCTCGTGAACGGTACCTTGTTCTTAGTGAAGGTTATTGGTTTATATTTAAAGATTTCCAATGTCACTATGTCACCAACCACATGACCTTATGTACGTGGCTACAATAACCCAATGGGTTGGAACTAGCTAAACCCAAAACCAATGCAGGTTATACTCATGTAACCCAGTCCTGATTTGATAGGGTTGGATCAAGGTAGCTTTACAGTTCAAACCAAAGAGTTGACATTCTAGCAATAACATTTATGTTTCTCCAACATGATTTGGCAATCACTTCAAGAGAGGAGATGCATACCTGAGAATTGATTATTTTCTGTCTCTGCAACTCTTCAACAAGATTTCCAATGCTGAAATTAAAAACAACTTTCAGTTGAACATGGAATATCAACAAAAGCATGCTACAATAAAAAACCATATACCACATCTCATACCTTTGCTGGAGACTAATCACTTGAGATTGTAGTTCTTTTTCTCTAGCAGAAGCTGAAGATATCTGTATATTGTGAAAGATAATGAAAAAAAAAAGGTAGAAATAAGCTACAACAGCTATAATCTGAATAAAGTCGATCATGTTCTCTGTTGTTTTTCTCTTTTCTCTTCTTTTTCTAGATAATTTGAAAGCTGGCATACTTCAATCTTTTCTCAATAAGAAATCCTCAAAGTTCAAATTATCCTCAACTGTTCAAGCAATCTACCATCTCAATATTAATTTTATTTTCATTATGACAATAGCTGATGAAAATAAGGAATAATAGACCTATATTTAAATGGTACAGATATTTCAGGATTTCAAATTTCTATTTCTTGCCTCTCAAACTCCCCCAACCCAGTATATTTCAAAAACCTGCTGTGTTGAACACCTAGGAGAATCATATATAGCTATACTAACCAAGAAGTATACTGCTAAGATTAATAAAAGGGCATTACACAATTTATGTGAAAACTTCAAGACAGTATGGAAGCTCCTTATAGCCAAGCCTAGACTCTAAGTTCTCTAACAAAATTAACAAAGTCCTAGCCAAACTAGAAAACTCAAAACTTGGGGTATGAAAATCTTTTCTTTAAGAAGGGTATGGTATACCATTTAGATACTCTTTAATATCTAAATTGTTAGAGGTTAGTATGTTACTAAAACAGCTGAAAACTAATTGTTTTAGGCTGCATTTGGCATTCCTTATTTTAAGGACTTATCTCCTTTTTTTTGCAGTTTAAATGCCCCCATGAACACTGAGTTCTTAACAGCAAAAGGGAGATAAGTCCTTAAAATAAGGAATGCCAAATGCATCCTTAGTGACATAATTGGCTCAAAATTTTGTGACAATATAATACTGGAAAAAGTACCTTAATTATTAATTAGAAGGCTTATATTCCATTAATTAGAAGGCTTTGATGAAGATACTTGGAGTATATGAATGGGAAGGCAGCAACTCGATGCCTCCAGAATTTTGGATTCTCCCATCCTTTCTCCCCATGCATCCAGGTTTGCATTAGTACTTTTGATAAATCAGATCAGTATATGATTCTTGGTATAAATTCAATATATTTATAACTATATATACAAAAACCAATGACACTAGTTTAGTATTTATACTTGCACATCCCAAGTCATAGCCAAGATGTCAATGCTTGGATTTTTCTTTTATATTCAAAGAAAAAGGGTTTCCACTGCATTTTACAAAATGTGATTGCATTGACCTCTAAAAGAGAAGGTTCTTGGTGCATGTTGTTTGCTGATAACATAGTATTAATTGATAAAAGTAAAGAAGGATTAAATGCAAAATTAGATTTTTGGATGAATACCTTCAAAACAAGATCCTCAAAATAAGTAGGATTAAGCCAGATATATGCAATGTAAACTTAATAATAATAGGAGTTAAAATCAAGGTACCTTAGGATTGAGACCAAGATATATCTCAATGTGACCTCTTTCATTACCTTTGTTTGACAAGTTATAGCAATGGAGAAATTGAGGAGGATGTTGCTTGAAAGCTAAATTACTGTAGCCAAAGTAGCAGAAAAGAGAAGAAGAAGAAGAAGAAGAGATGTTGGAATGTCAAACTGTACAGTTCAGTCGACAGTACTATTATTTATATTATGATGTAGTACAATGATACAGGAAGTTACTAGAATGCCCCTGATTAGTGATGCGACACCCAGACAACTTAAAACATTAAACAGGATTAGGCCCATTAACAAAGGCCCAGTACAGGACAACTTAAACTTAAGTATAGGCTAATAAGAACTCTTATCAGCCAAATACTCATACATACAAAGACTTCAATCCAACATTGCTCATAGTATTAAAGCAGGATTGGTATCTAGGGTCTTATGTAATAAGAGAACCCAAATAAATAAATAATAACAACAACAACAGAGAACACCACTTGGGATAAAAGGAAAATTTTATAAAAAATGTATAAGGCTGCTAATGTATAAGGGACCACAACTCACGTAATTTGAAAAGACATTAATGCCTCTTATTGGTGAAAAAGAGCTATGCTGACCATTCTACTCTTACTATCTTAATACAGAAAGCATAATATATAACAGAAACAGTAACATAATAATAAGGCTCCCTTAAGAATTAGTAAGTTTGAGCCAACTGGTTGAACTGTTTTATCTTGTTAGCTAGCCCATTGAACTGCCAAATTGGTTGTAATAAGCTTCAGCCTTTTTTTATTTTGGTTTTATTTTTTATGTTAGCTACTGGTTACTTGTTCAGTTAGCCAGTACAAGTGTACTGACCTCTCCCAATGACCTGACCGGCCTCCAATTGGGGCTTTGACACATTGAAATGACTAATCTAGGTGTACAAATGCTTGTCAATAAATTTTCTAGTTTGGTAACCTTAAGCTATTGCTGTTCCATTTTCCAGATTACTAACAGAAGATCCTGGACAGAGACTTGGAGCTAAAGGCGCATCAGAGGTAATCTTATCTATTAGATGTTGAATCTACTGTTTTCTTGGGTAGAATCATTAAGCAATAGCATTGGAGATTATGGTCCAGGTGAAGCAACATGTGTTCTTCAAAGACATCAACTAAGGCGCATCAAAGGTAATCTTGTCTATTAGATGTTGAATCTATTGTTTTCTTGGGTAGAATCACTAAGCAATAGCATTGGAGATTATGGTCCAGGTGAAGCAACATATGTTCTTCAAAGACATCAACTAGGACACACTTGCCAGGCAGAAGGTGACATTACATGTAGCTTGTCTTATTTCTCACCACAGCACTGTTCTAACCATTGACACCATGTATCTGAGATTGATCATGTCATCTGAATGACCATGGTTATTATAGGCTGCATTTGTCCCTGCTTCGGAAAGTGCTCTTGATACAAGCTACTTCACAAGTCAGTACTCCTGGAATCCATCAGATGATTGTATTTATGCTGCCAGTGAATTTGAGGGTTCTAGTGACAGTGGCAGTATAAGTGGCTCTGGAAAAACATTGTTATTTTATGTGGGCTTTTTTCAGGCTTAACTTGTATTTTGAGCCTCATTAACAATGATAAACAGGGAGATGACTGTGGAAGTCTTGCTGAGTTCGAGCCTAGCTCATCAGTGAATTACTCATTTAGTATTTTTTCATTTAAGGTATGTTTTATTGACCTTGCAAAGTCGGTGCTTTGGTTGCTTTGCTTTCAGCTCATATCAAAGTAGTCATCAATCAATTGTTTTCACATAAACTTGGTATTAAAGTAATAATATATGGACATAGCTTTTGGTAGTTGCAAGGCTGATGTGAAAAGAGTTGAGTTCACCTACTCATTAAAGTCATAACAGACTTTTATTAAAAAATAAAGGCCCTGACCCCCCCCCCTCAGTTTAAAAGGTATAATACATTTAGTGTTAGTTAACACAAACAACTTCTCAATCATGTCAATAGATCTTAAATCTAGGAAACCAATATTATATTGTTTAAATTTAATTGCATCATATATGCATAGTATCACCTGCATAGTAAAGACTTAAGGATATATAAATAGTTTTAATTATAAAGCAGATAACCTCGTATCAGATACTAATCAGCATAGAACAACTTAAATTAAGTGGGTAGAGTTAATTAAAAGAGTACAACCCTAACAATTGTTCCAAAATGTTTTGGACCTTACTTTGATCCTCCAAATTGTGATGTGATACTTATGCCTCTACATCAATAGCAAGGTCCAATAATACACCAGCAATGTAATGCATTTGTGCAAGAGATGATGTATATATCTACTTGATAAGGCTGAGATCATGGACTTTAGGACAGCAGCTGGCAGTTCCTCCATMCAGATTGACCATAGGACAGCGGCTAGCAGCAGGTGCCAAATAATCACACCTTTACTGCCCAGTCCCTCAATATGCCAATTATTGAGGAAATCATGAGTTATCTTAGGGAAGATCCAATTCAACTGTAAATTGTTAAGAAAATGAACCCAGATTTGTCTGATCATGGGGCAATGCAGGAAGAGATTTTCCACTGCCTCCAAGTCATAGTTACATAAAGAGAACATTTCAACCACAATGGCCTCCTTGTTAGCCGGCAATGTTAAAAGAAACTCGGGTAGGATTCTACTAAGAGTCTGTCTCCAAACTAATAATGATGTCAAAATCTTAATCTTGTTCAATTGCCTAGTTTTAGAGTGATGCCTTCAAGGAAATGAGGTTGAGCTTTTATCATTTATCAACAAATGAGGTTGGGCTTTCTGAATACCCTTCCAAACTTATCACCCCCCATTTATAAGCCCATACTTGGCTGCAATCATCTGTCTCCACCAGTTGTCACTGTCAACATCAGATCTTGAGAGGCATTTTCTCAGGAGAGTTATGTTTGTATCTTTGATTATGTATAGTCCCATACCACCCAATTGCTTTAGAGAGCAGATTTTTGCCCAGTCTACCAGGTGGATCTTCTTGTCATCCTTCCACCCATTCCACAAGAACTCCCTTTACAACTTTTCCGGCTTGTTCCTTAATATTTACTATTATTTATCTTGTTCCTTACATTGTATTTTTGTTTGTAAATATTTATGGAACAGTTTTTACTTACTGGTTCTCAACTCAATAATTTTTAGAACTTATACTCTTCTTGTTTATTCTGTATATTCTAGTTTCTTATCCTTTGAAGGGATTGCTCACATATTCAAGAATCTGTCTTTGTTTTCTTTCRAGTTGGTATTTGAGGAATTAGCATACAATAGTTTGATGCCTTAATTCAATTAATTTTATTTTCCTGCAGTTTCTTAAAATTCAGGTTGGCATCTGGGCCGGTGATATCAATGACATTGTTCTTCTGGATGTGACACCATTATCTCTATCTCTAGAAACACTTGGTGGAGTTAAGACAAAGATTAGCCCAAGGAGCCCAACATTGCAGCAGAAAAAGGAGAGACAGAAGGGGAAGGTTTAGGACAAGTTTGGGTCTTCCAACGTTACCTCCTCCCGAATTTCTCTCTAGCTTAGTCAACCCTCTGCATATTTCCCTTCTCTCTACCAACTGAAAATAAAGTAATTGCAGCATTTTCAAGCAAGTCCATATGAATCAAACAAATTAATAGGATGGAGTAGCAATTACCTTCAGTGGTTTATTGAAGAAGAATAAGAAACCTAACTGTCCTTGGACTTCCGTAACAGTGTCAAAGGCAATAAAACCCCTAGCTAAATCTTCAAGAAAGGGCAAGTTTCATCATATAAATCAACTTTTGCATTTTGTTACGTCTACAATACTTCACCGTTTATAAATGAATACTAGAAGCTATCAAGCTTTTATAGTTATTTGGATTTTCAACAAGAACTATAACTGAGTAAACGATGATCGAGGCCAACACTAGAAAAATCCAAATAATAGGAAAAACTTTGCAAAACTAAAATGTTAAAAACAAAATGAGAGGCAAGAAGGAAACTACCTCTAATGTAGTAGCGTTCTAGAGTTAGTTCAATGCTGCGGTGAAGAGACCGAATCAGCCACTGACGTTGAAGTCGCTGGTTGGAGCTGTCCGATGGAAATCTGAGACAAACTCCATCGGTCATGAACAGTAGAAAAGTGAGAGAGAGAGAGAGAGAGAGAGAGGGCGGGAAGAGAATGGGGAAAACGAAAGAGGAGGGGGAGGGGAAACCAAATTCGCAGTCGCTATACTCTCTAGCGGCAGTTTTAAACGACCACTGCTATAGAATATTATTTAGCAGCAATCACAATCCAAACCATGCCATGAAGACCCACATTCTCATTGAGAGAATAAAAAGGAACTAATGGTGGCACGACAATAAACACAAAACGAAACACAATTTCCTAGACCAACCTCTGCCTATTAAAGAAAAATGGGGGTTTAGGCATGATTTTGAAAACCGGACCGAGCATATGATTGGACTAGTTGACTTGGGAATCGATCAAGTATTTCGTTCATTTCACCCTAATGGCCTTTTCGTTTCCTTTGAAATCTGACATCTAAAAGTGTAATAATTGTATTAAGAGATATATCGGTATTGGTGAACTTTTCTTTCGTCTGAACTTTCTTAATGCAGAGAATGTTACTCGRAATTCTGAAAACTAACAAATATCCATTTTGACCCTATATATGAGAGTTTTTGTTTGTCTTTTTGAGGGTATCATTGGAAAATAAAAATTTGTATGATTGCACTTTAAGAGATAAGAGATAAGAATAAACGAACAACCAATTTTCTCTTAAAGTTAAAAGATTCTTCTTAAGGGATAAGAGTTAAGAGGAAACGAACAGACCCTAAAACTGCGTTTTAGCCAAAAATCATGGATTTGGTCAATGACATGCTGACCTGGGCAGTTGAACCATCGAGTCGAACAATAGTTTTTTGTTGTTTTTTATTTTATTTTTTTTTAAGTCAAAATGGGCCATCCATTTAAATTGGACGGTCGGACCATTCGACCTGGGAATAGGTTCTAAGGACGGTTTCGCGTTCGGTCCAGATTTTAAAACCTTGGTTTAGGAATGGCAACGGGGTGGGGCGGGGACGAGGAGCTAGTCCCCATCCCTATCCCCATGGGGATCCCCACTTCCCGTGATTTTTTATAATGTCAACATTTTTTTGTTTTTATTTTTATTTTTTGTTTTTATTTTATTTAAAAATAAATAATTAAAATTTAAAATCCTATTAAAAAAATTCAAACATATTAAACCAAATTTTTAAAAATATTAATATATAGATGTATGTATACATATATACATATATACATATATACATATATAGATGTATGCATGCATAGATACATATATATTAGTAGGGATCCCACAAGGCGGGGAGTGCTCTCCCCATCCCCGCTCCGTCCCCACCAACAGGGATGAAAATTTCCCCATCCTCATCCTTGCGGGAGGAAATCATCCCCCCATCCCCGCCCCATTCGGGATGGGTCCTTATGAAGATCAGGGAAATGGGGAAATTTTCCATCCCTACTTGGGTTTAAGTCTCAGGTGCAGTTGTCTTATGAACAAAACTATGTCCAACAAGAAAATATGGATACTTCTCACTTGTCCTACCACTCCATAGGCCATGGACATGAATGCCAAATACTTTCTTAAAATAATCAGTTTTGAAGCATAAAAAGGACACTCCAGTTTAGGATGGTAGAAAAAGTGCATACAACATTTTAGAAGAACTCAAGCTAGCATAATATGATTTGGATACTAAAAAAATGGTTCCTTAGTGATGTGGAGTAATCCGGCTGCTCCCTGCTAGAGATGATCTGGCTACCAGATCGACATGAACTGGGTAGTCTGCAAGAGAGGAGTCAGAGATCCCGGGGTGGCTAACCCAGTGGGGACACTCCAATGGCTAAGTTAGAATACAGGGGTAGTAGAAAGCTTGAAGATGATAACAATGAGTTAGAGAGCTAGAGAGCAAAGATTACACACAATAATAAAATGAACATACCTCCACCCCTGGGGGTGAAGTCTTTATATACTGGAGTCCTTGTGGACTGGTGGAGCGGTTCCTGGATCCTCGCCGTGATGGGATCCACTTGCGTGTTAGGTGGGCAAAATGTCACCAACTAGTAAGACTGTCCTTTCCGTTTGAACCGGGGAGTCGGTGAGCTAATATAGCCGTTGGCGAGGTACGATCCCGTAAGACGCGGAACATGGTGGTGAAATCCTCAGGGTTTTCATGTGGAGGTCGTTTTGAACGGGAGGCGAGCTGCCTGTTAGGTATCGGGCTGCTTGATGGCGAGCTGACTGGTGGCGACCTTCCCGAGCTCGTGCTCTTTAGGTCCATTCTGATACGAATGCCGAAGTGCCCTTGGACCGAGGTGGTCTTGGTCTAATCTTGTGCCGAGGTAGTCTTGACCCAAGTGGTTCATCTGTTAGGGTTCGATCTGTAGTGAACTCGGTTCCGTTATCCTGGTCGCGACCTGGTATCGAGACGATCTTAGTTCGGGGTATCAGAGTACCCGAGGTCACTTTGTAGCGAACTGATTATGCAAAGTTGTCACTGGTGCCGGGTCATATCCACGTGCCGACCTGACCATGTCGAGTTGTCGCTTATGTCAAGTCATGTCCACGTGTCTCCCTGTCATGAGATCGGGACAAATTCCCCTTCATCACTTAGTTCACACATTACATGACCCGTGGATACCCTCCATAATGGGGTTCTCACACCAAGTGAAGCAACTATTTCCAGCTTGAGCAACTTGAAAGTAAGTGACCTTCTCCAAACTGAGCAAACTTGGAACCAATCCACCATCTACCATTTTTTCAAGACATCTAAGTGTCCAACACATCTTGCCTATTCAGCTCCACCACAACTTGGGTTTGAATCGCTTGATCTGGAAAACAACACCCTCAAGTAAATTTTCAATTACCTCAGCTTACCACAAGTTCATCTCCTCGCTTCCATCCTCATCCACTCCTCACTTCACTAGCAAGGTAGCTTTTGGAAACAAAAATCCCACCTAGATGCCAGATTTTTGTATGGAAACTCTTATGGAATGGTGTGTTCACCGAAAGACAGAWGTGTTGCATATGGCTATCAAATGACAAACTAGACTACCCTTTCATATGCAAGAGCAGTCTAGCTTTTTTCTTGGGTCAAGTAGGCTTTAACCCTAACAAGAGTGTCAAACCAACCTTTTCACACAACAATAACAGGATGGTTGCACTCTTTAAAAGGTACAATAGGCAAAGAGGCTCACCTCTATCTCTTTGGAAAGGGATGTGTTCTACTCTATTATATTTGAAAAGCGCACTAATGTGGGTATATTTGGTTGGCTTGTTGGATCGTGACATGTGACATCAGTAGGGGTATTACTGACTTTCGACTGTTCATTATGGGCACTCAGGTAATTCCCACCCTTAGTGGTTTGTTGAGCACTTAATGTGGGTGCACGTCCTAGGTGCATTTACTCCTAGGCCAGTAGCATGGGGTCGTAACCGGCCAACACCCCTTCATATCTCCTTATGTGACCGCGATAAACGGAACGATTACATGTCGTGCATTACTCCCTTGTCAGGCGACTCCTACTATAAAAGGGACACTACAACCAGAGGTATGCACACTTATTACAGCTATCACTTGCACTTTTGTAGTAATCTCTATTCTCCTTAAGCCCTTGGTTGACTTGATCGCCAGAGTCCCCACCCTTGGGAACACTCCCAGGGCCTCTGACATCTTTTTTACTATTGATAGGTTGGACATTAACCTTCGGACCTCAGGAATTACTTGGCTGCCTCGGCTCCAAATTTGGCAACAACATTTGGCGTTGTCTGTGGGAAGCAACTTAGATCATTCCCTTAAATAAACATTAATAAATCATCTAATATTTCCGAAAAAGAAAGGAAAATGGTTGAAAACCAAGACAATGTTCCTCATTCTCATAACTTGGTCACCCAAGAGCAGTTTAGCATAGTGCTCCAGCACCTGGACGGCCTAGCCTAGCAATTGATTKAGTTACAACACCCAACAGGAGGCCTCCCATATGGGGGCCGCCCCGTCAAGGGCCAGGACCAACAAGGCACAAGGCCCACCCACGTATTGGTGAGCTAGCGCTTAAGCGCACGCATTGCTAATGTTAGTCAAATTCTGGCAGCAGTAATCACCGGGCAAGCAAACACCGGTCCAACACATCTCGGCTTCCTCCCAACTGAGGTGGAAACCATCAGGACTCATATGCCCGCGACATACCAGAACCATCAAGACCGTCACGCCAACCTCCTTGCCTCGAATCGCAATAAGGACGACGGTGGGCGTTCAGTCCACTACAATCCCTCTCACTAATCAGGGGATGGTTAATGTAGTGCTTTTTCCCGCCCATGTACGACCTCCGCGATCACCTTACTCGTAGAGCTCAAGATCAGGCCAACTTGAAGAATTTTGGAAATTAAGCGTATCTCTCCCGTAAGAAAGCCTCTGGACCCAGCCGAAGTCCCCCTCCCTCAAATTGACCAACATATCAGGGACCTCCAGGCACAGATAGGCGCCATGTAAGATGAGCTTAGGCAGGTCAAAGAAGGCCGAGGTGATACATCCACCAATCAACCAACCTCATCGACTCAGGTGAAGGCCTTTGTCTACTCCATCACCTTAGAGCCCCTCCCACCAAACATTAAAGAACCTACTCTCGAAATCTATGATGGGAGCATAGACCCAAAAGACCATTTAGAGCATTTTCATGCCCTAATGCTCCTCCACGGCTACTCCAACGCACTGATGTGTAGGGTCTTTCATTTCACTTTCAAGGAAGCGACTCACAAATGGTTCTCCACGCTCCCACCTCAATCCATAAGCTCCTAGGATTAGATGGGGCACTTCGTAAGCAGTTAAYGATGCTAGAAGATTGTCATTTCCCTGATGTCCATTAAGCAAAAATGTGGGGAGAGCCTTCGAGATTATATGAATAGATTCAATCAGGAAGAACTCGAAGTTAAGGACCTAGACCCCTCGGTATCTAYGACTGCCACCATTAGTGGCCTTCACCCAAGGCCCCTCAATTGGTCCATCTCCAAAACCCCACCCAAGAACAAGGCGGAGTTCCTGAAGTACATAGCAAATAAGGAGGCTGAGGCCAACAAACACCTTAAGAACCTAGAAATGGGTCCTAGTGAGAAGAAGATGAAGGACAGAGACGGACTAGTCGATGGCCCAAGCAATAAGAATAAGGAGAAGAAGCCACCAGCCCCATCCTTCGACAAATACACTATCTTGAACGCTTCCCGAACTCATATTCTCATGCAAGTAGGGAAGCAGGAGTACATTAAGTGGCCCACCAAATTCAAGACGAATCCCAGAAGGGAAAATCCTAAAAAGTATTGTAAGTTCACAGTAGCACAAACCACTATACTAAAGATTTTTATGATCTCAAAGATGAAATCAAGTCCCTCATTAGGTAGGGACACCTAAAAGATTATGTTGGGGGTAAAAACCTAACGTCCTCATCTGCACCAACGCTAGCCGATCCCAGGCC